ACATTCGGGTTCCGTCCGCTAACTAGTATTAACTTTCAGTTTATTATCAAAGAACATCGCGGCTTCTTTTGTATCTTACCGTGAACTACACAGAAGAAAGGAAACAAAAACATGTTATCTGACACGAAGAAAAGTTGTAGCTAGTAAAAGCACTGATTTACCTTGAGTCTACTCCTTACCAAATAACAATTACACCATACCCGGAAAATTTATGTGACATGACCAGAGGGAGCGAATATACTTTGCCTAAATGTTGCAGTTTCCGTTAAATTAGACGTCCGGATCCTTGGGTAAAGAGAAGAAATTAGGGAAAGAATGACTAAGTTCTGCCATTACCATGTCAATAAGGAAAACTTATGACCATAGCAACGAGTAGCGCGCTTGGCCATTTTTATTTTCTTCCTATGTTTACCAGTTCGTATTACAAAATAAGCTGTTTCGGCTGACTCGAATTGTCGCCGATTTTTTTTTTTTTTTTTTTTTTTTTTTTTTTAAATGAATCTCTTCATCAGTATTCTGATTTAGTTGTCCATTCTACTCCTTCCCACTACTTTGAATTGATACCCTTTTTCTAGCCTTTCAGTTGCGACCTCGATAAGCTACTGGGCTAAGCTTTCCTTCATTCTGAAAAGAATTTCAGGCCGCTTCAAAATGACTTGTGCGTTATCGTGCTTACCGAACCCTCAAACTGGCCAAATTCACAAGATTGGAATGGCGAGAGCAAAAAAAAACACGAGATTAGATTCTTCAGAGGATATCAGTGAACTCGCCGCACTGCAATCAAGTTTGTACGAAGAAATGAAGATTTCGTTCTTTATAAATACTACGAATATCTTGTTTATTAGGAAGTCCCCCCCCTCCACCCCGTATAAAGAGCAATAGTCTTTAGCCCTTGCTATAACAAACACATATGCCAGCCCCTTGACATTTCAGTAATCTTCGTTGTTTGTGACATTTCAAAAGAAGATACAGACAACGCAAGTATTTGGAGCTAGGAAATTAAAAAGAGATTTAACTTCTAAGAATATAGTATTAGATTCAAGGTCAAACCACAAAGTGAATAGGCAAACATAGCGTATTTATGTGTATTTTCCTCAAATGCAAGTTCATGAAGAATATTAATTCTGCTAAAACTCTCTCTCTCTCTCTGACATAATTGGTTTCTTTTCTGGCCCTTGAATTTCTTGAATTGACTTTCATCGTAGCGTTCCGAACTGGTAACGCATCGAACTGAGTGGGTTGCCAAAGGAGCTAGGAAATTAAAAAGAGATTTTACTTCTCAAAATATGGCATAGGCTTCAAGGTCAAACCACAAACTGAATGGGAAAACAGAACGTATTTACGTGTATTTTTTCAATTGCAAGTTCATGAAGAATTCTGCTAGAGCTCTCTTTGTATGAGACTGGTTTATTTTCTGGCTCTTGCTGTGATTTCTTGAATTGACTTTCATCGTAGCGTTCAGAACTGGTAACACATCATTGAACTGAGTGGGTTGCCAAAGGTTTAATTAAGATTAAATTATACCTTCCTAAGATCAACTTAAAGCTGCTAATAATCGAGTGAAGGTCAAAGTTTCCTCTCAAATGTAAATTAATTGGTTATGTATATTACACGATGATAGAAAAGCTAAAATAGTTTAGACACGAAGTGTCAAAACTAAAATGGATTAAACTGGGTGACATGCTGAAAGACGGAAACCTTTATGTACTTCGATTCTCACTTCGTTTTGCCAACACAACCCAATGTCCTATTACTATTCAACTGGATCTGTCGCCGTGATACTATTTTTACGAAGAGAAATCCGGCTTTGATAGCTCCAACCTTTGTGGTTTTTCATCTGTCATTTAGAAGGTAATGCCTTTAATTAATAACATTGCGAGCTGTCGATTTGCATGGATCGCCCGGACTTCTATTTATTTAGTTGCGGTAGGGATTTTGGTATAAAACGCCTTGCCTTAATCCCTCCCCATATTTCAAATACTCAGGTGCAACTCGCTAAATTGTAGTGTAAAAAAGAATCAGTTTACACATTGCCGAATTGTTCTGTGACCTTTACATCATGCACTTCGATCAGACTGAAAACCATAACCATTCTTTATTTTTCTCTCATGATCTTACAGTGTCGTGGCGTATATTTTCTAAGCGAGGAAGGTTAGTGGCCATGATACAGGTGGCCGGATTGGGTCTACCAAAATCAGTCTTGTTTGAAGAACGTGACATGACAAAGGATGGGGCAAATACGGAAACCCGAAGCAAAAACATCGATTACGATTTTACGAAAAAAATATTATCGCTTGGCTAAATTTTATCTTGTAACACTTCCTGAGTCCGTCGAATGCTCACGTACTAGCCGAACAATAATTAACTGAAACAAGTTGCGAGATATTTGCACAAATTTCCATCTCAAGTTATTCAAGACATTTCTTTTTGGAACGTTGTGGAACGCAAGAACATTGTTACAGGAAATAAGACACGATTTATCAGGAAGAATAGGCTTGATTTTCTAAGTGCATTTCGAAGATAGTGATCGATTTTTCTGTCGTTGATCGGAAAGTTATGCGAAAGTTTCCGCCATTTTCCAGATGCGTTTCTACTGAAACTGTCAATACAAACAGTGTTTAAGTTGTGTAAATTGATAACAAATGAAATACATCAGGTTCTCCTGTCATTTGTGAATATTTATGGTTTAATATGAACTTTAGAGACCTTTAGACTGGGGAAAAAGGTCACCTTTTCCAGAAGAAACCTTTGTTCCAAGCCTTGAGACAAAAAACGAACACTCTCAAGCTCTATTTCGGCTACTTTAAATTATGGCGCGAAAATCGTTTTAATGAAGAAATAAAACACAGGCAAGCAAGAATTAACAATTGAACATATGTCAGTCCTAGGTTAGGTCAAAGCCGATAAGGGAGCGGAAATCGTCGAGAGATATCGGTCAACACGCACGCACGTGAACTGGCCTCGGGTTGGATTCTGGGACGGATTCCCCCCCGACCGAGACATGTTTGAAAACAATAGCACCTACGAGCTCTAGGAACATACGTAAAACTTTCTCATAAGCTGTGCGGCAGCTGTTTGCCTTGTGAACACGAAAAAAACATCCATACGGACAGTTCTGACCGAGATATCACCAACGGTTCTCGCTGTAGCCGTGTCGGTCTGAAATTACAAAGTTAGTGACATTGAAACATGGAAGATCATAACGTTCAAGGGACAGATTTCGATGGAGAAAGTAGTTCTACCGCCAACAGGCCAGACGTTGGTGGAGGCTGTAGGAGACGAAAAGCCAAACCTAAAGCAGCGACCAGCAGGAAGGAAAGGAGGCGCACGCAAAACATCAATGCTGCATTTGATGATTTGAGGAAGCACATTCCTAATGTTCCATCTGACACTAAGCTATCTAAGATCAAAACACTGAAATTGGCTATGAGTTATATTCATCATTTGGAAAATCAACTCGAAGACGAAGCCCAGGGCCAGGAAATCGTTACGCCTGCTGAGGAATCCCGCCGCAAAACAGACAACAACGAAACCGATAGCAATGATAGCAGTAGCTTTGATCAAGTGGATTCGCCAAAGGTAAATAACAGGAAAACATCTTGATATTTCTGGGGGTTCACTGGGACCTTGAAATACTAAAATACAATTTTCGAGTGGAGTTTCCTGCTAAGGTCATTATTTCTTAATTGCTTTCTATTTAATAGCAGTCCTAAGTACTTTAACAACTGACCATGGTCAAAATGTTAACCGAAGAAACTGAACACGGTAGGTACTGCATCGATATTTCGCGTTCCGACAAGATGGGCTCATCACGAAAGCTACAAATTATGGCACCAAATCTCAGAAGGTGAAAGAGATAACGCGATTTTCTCGCATCACAATACTTTAAAGGTTCTCGATGGGGTTCCATCTCTTTTCTTTATTAAATGTGTAGTTAATTCTGAACAGATTGTTTGGTTGTTTTATGTTCATCATATGCTTGCATGTTGACCTATTTTAGTTGCGATGGAGTACGCCGCATACAACTGAAATGTCGACACAATCATGGTGACTTCTTAGTGTTATTGATAGCTGGGATTAAATCTTCTTTTGCTAATTTGCTTATTCATTTTTTTGTGAATAGAGTAGTGACGAAAAACAGAGATGTTCTGCTCCGCCACGTCGCAGCTCAAGAACTGGATGGCCACAACATGTCTGGGCATTGGAATTGATGGGGAACCTCAAACAACAATCTGTAGCGTAACAATAAACCACATTTGGCCTTCCTTCCTGAACGAAATCTCAATAACATGTTCCAAAAGGTGTCTATCCAGCTCTTGAAAATCAGTTGCAGAGATTATTTGCTCAACTCATGATGATTGCGAACACGCGGTGGAAGAAGAATTTCAGTGAATTTCATTTGAAGAGCTTTCTTCTGTTCCTGCGTTATTGTATTGGGGACAATAGCTGTAGCACAGCGAGAGGGCTACAGCATCTGGGAAGATTAGAGACATCGGTGTTGTCATCTAAGGTAGCAAATAAAACAATATTGCAAATTATTCAAGAATCGTTATCTATAAAAGGAACTGTTAAGTCCAGAGGCAGCGTAGCAACAGCAGTTCATGAAGGTGGATTTGATCGTGGGTTTCAACTTATGACTCCTCGACCGTTCTTTAGAATGCCTGTGCAAGTAATTCGGGAGGGTGATTCTCATCAATGAGAATCGGTTGTGTAATGATTAAGATTTTACGCCAAGCCGTTGTCTAGTATGCATATTTAAAACTCATCACCAGTCATTCCCCATAGGTGATAGAACGCAGAGTGACTGGAACTGTAGAAAGAGTTGGCAACTGTTTCATATCTGATTTAGGTGGCCATGATTGTTGCAGGGAGTCTTCCCAAATGATTTACATCTAGCACGCATCAGTTAATTTACTTGTAAACTAGTTGTCTCAAATACAAGTAGACAGTGAAATAAAGGCATATTATATTCACGATTGTCGTTATAGTGCCTTGTCGCATTTCCAAGTGCATTGATGAAAAACAGGGAACCTTTGGTTTAGTGTCCAAGTGTTCTGACAGGGTCCAGAATTCGACCAAAATGTCGACCTGTCACATCTAGCAGCGAGTACTGGGGCCTTCTTCAACGTTTTGTCCAGTGTTTATTTCAGAAACACTTTGGCACAGACGCTAAAGCTGTGTCTAAATGCCATTGGTCTTAGTGGGAAAGACGGCTAGACGAAAATGAGCTATTTCGAGTGATATGTAGGGACGGCTTCATCATTCACGGCATTGGGAGTTGTTCAACAAGGATTTCTGGTACGTCAGTTAATAGCCAATGTAACTATTTCGATCTTACTGTGACCGTCTTTTCTGTTTTGTTATACGACAACTGGCATACGTTAGTCAGAATCAACGTTTCGATCCTCTAAATTACAAATTCAGTTCAAATCGTGCAAAAGAAGGCTTCGTTTTGCCTCCTTGAAACTTCGGGCAAACTTGAACAAACCATTCCTACACTGAAATTAAGCCACCGAGTGGAAAACTTACTAGTCTAGGTACTTCGAAAACTTCTTAGGGCCAGGTTAAAGGCACATTGAAGTTGAAAATCGGATTTAACAATTGCTAGCGACCAGAAGAGATGGAAAGATTCCAATTTCGAAACAGTTTGGGCGAAAAAATAAGAAGCGTTATTGTGGTAATTAATTTGATACTACATTTATCGCTTCTAAATATGCCATTTTGATAATTTACCAACCGCAGTAAAGCAAAGACGCTTTGTTATGAGATTTTATTAGGTTAAAACAAGTTAGAAAGAACAACCTCTCCACAATACGTTCGCTACTAAAGTCCCACTGCCTCAAACTAGGTATGTCGCTTCGGTTATTATGGTGAGAGCAAATGGTCACATAAACCGTCCCATCGGTAAGGACAGATCGACGATTAAGGGACAGACTTTACATTATGGTTGTAAACTGAGTTTTTGTCAACTTTCGTGAAATAAAAACCTAATATTTGTTCACGTTTGAGAAGGTTTGCCCCAAGTAAACAGATAAGAATCGCATTAGGTACCCAAACAATGACAAAACCGCCTGAGCTCGGAAGTGCTGCATACAATGGAGTCCAAGATGTCACTCTTGTGTGTGCCGCAGAGTCTCATCTTCATACAACACATTTCTCTTTAGAAATCTCCCATGATTTCTCAGTTGAGTTTTCTAAACGTTAAAACGCCTCGACAGGAGGGCGGAGTCGAGTTATAAATCTTGAACTGGGGGTGGGACATTGCGGGTTTATAAAGAATCCCCTAATTAGTTTGATAAACAACTGTAAACAACGTTTTATTTAGGGCAATTTCCTCCCATTCGAGGCAAGCCACAAACAGGTTTCTTACACGAAAGTAACTCATTTTATAAATTCACTTAAGCACTAACACATTTGATGCCTAGCTGAATTCATAGCCGGCTTGGCGAAACCTTGCAGAAAATTCGGGCTCTCTTTGAACCCATAACCTTTGCGTGCAAGACCTAAGACAAAGGCGCTTATATTTTGTCTGTGCAATACTTGTCATGGTCTTCCAAATTTAGTAGACTAATTAATGTATAATGAACACAGTGAGTCTAAATTTATATCGTTCATTTTCTCACGGTTTAATCAGTTGTGTTTTTTTTAATCGAAATTCAAATTCTGGGCATATGCATGTCATCGAGCTTACGAAACAGTGAAAAAGTTGAGTGAAATTTTGATATCATTGCTAAATAAACAACGTTAGGCTTGACCTTGAAAAGGTAAACTTAGTTGAGAATGGGCCAGACAAATTGTACTAAAGCTGAACTAAAACAAACTAAAACAAACATTTTGCAGATTTTCCAGCAGTGTTGTTGCTATCAAAATTCCGGTCAGTAATTACCGGACATTATGTACGTGCTCCAAACTAGCCATCGTCAAATCGATCCACTTATGAGTTGAAAGTCAGGTCGGGTAGTCTCTGCCTCTCATTGTGATAGTAAAGATTTGTTCTTTTCTTTTTTAGGACTGAGAGTAAATTTTGCTGAACACCATAAAGTAAATATGCGTGATGCATTCTGACCACAACTTAATAAAACTGAAAGGTGCTAGACAACCACAGGAACTGAACACGATATAATGACCTCAAAGAACACACATAATCTTGTTGCGTTTCCTACAAAATCCTCCACCAGATGAACGGAGTACATAATTCAAAACATACTTTGACCAAGAAAAACGTTTTAATCAATGATTTTTGTTCGGTGATGGATGGATATTTTGTTTTGGTTTTGGGAATACCAAACTTTATGAAGAGAGGGAAATGCGTGTGGCTGAATTCCATGCATACAGGCGAATTCATGATGGCCCTTTTGGCTTTCCGCTTCACTTTTCATATCAACGTTCTAGCCATGCCATGCTTAAATATCTGAATACATTGCTGAAAAATACTGGTACAAACTGACAATCCACAGCGAAGAGAAGGACGCTGTAGCCAAAAATTGTAAAAATGTATATCTGTTTATGAAAGTAATTAAATCTCCTCAAAGTTTCGAGGATTGAGTACCCCTGCCAAAACAGCCAATTGAAAGTAAAAGCCAAGTGAGCAGCCACAGAAAGTCTTGCGTTATAATTGTCAATTATCAAAGGATGTTTGAAAATTCATGTAAAAGTCAAATAGAAGTCCACCCCAAGCTAAATGCAACAACGAAACTGTCGAAATATTCTGAGCGTATACCGGAGCAATGATGTACAAGCATTAAGTAGCTCTTGAAGAAAGAACCCTTGTCGTTTCTGGTGCAAATTTCCGCTTTATTTATTTGACATATGTATGAGAAAGTTTTATTAGCATGACTTGCATGACCACAATTGTAAGAAGGGCAAAGACGTTCCCTCTTGCTGTCCTCTATTGAACTTACCGCCATTATATTGTAGTCAGGCTTAAAGCGCTGAGACACCATTAAGAATGAACGAGTTTTTTTTATTGTGTTAATGTTCCTAGAAGGTTGATGAAAAAGGAACCTACGTTCTTCAACTAACAAATGTTTTTTGATGATTCATGACCTTGCTTAGCTTCTTCCAGACAACAAGATCGATGAGGCTAATCTAAATTCGATACTGTACACTGATTCACTGATGAAACATAAGCCTTCAAGTGTAAATGCTTTTCTAAGAATTGGCTTCTTTGCTATAACTATGCTTTTGGCAGAACAAAATGGAATTGTACCTTTGCCAAAAAAGGTCTCAACAGTGTATTAACAATTTTATTCATAACTGCCTTCAGCTAATCCTTTCGTTTCTTACGGCCCAAAAGGCTACGATCTTCATCTTTACCCCGAGCTCTGTTGCCGGTTCTTCGGACCCGGGCGCCATCTTCCTTGTGCTTCGCTTCATGAATTCCACCTATACGCACAGTTATTTTCCTGGCCAGGGTTGTTCGAAAGGTAGATAACGCTATCCACCGGATAAATCACTATCCAGCGGATAGCATGTTTGTTTTGATACCATTTATCCACTGGATAGCGATTTATCCGGTGGTCTTCGAGCAACCCGGATCAGGGGATTTCCAGCTTTGTACCGACAGAAAGAGAAGGAAATCATTGTCTCGCAGGGTACTTATACCGTAAGACTATTTTGGTACTCCGACCCTAATCTGCAAGGTTTTTTTACCGATCTCCATATTTTTTGTGTGTCTTCCAGCAATTAGTTTCTTTGGAAAACGTTTGGGAGTTTACTACCGACCTAACTTGAAGATTCCCCAGGTCTCATTTAGTTCCTGCATTCTTGTCAGTACATGGAATCATTGCCCTCTTAGACGACAAGAAAGCCGTTATTTAGCTATAATGTAAAACGTGCAGCCCTCAACCGGTCAACTATCAAAGAATGGTTTGCTTTTTTGAGAGCAAAGGTACTTGAGAGTTTAATTCACGGTATGACACGTTTAATCCAGTGAAGCTGTAGTCACTTGCAACCTGAATATAACTACGAAATAACATGAAATATTTAGGGTATAAATTGCAACCAATTCTTGGCTTGAAGAAGAGCAATTTTTGCCAAGAGTTCAATGCTTAAAAAGATTCATTTAGTTCAGTTATTACAACTTTTTGACGTCCATGGTTCTTCCCATACTTGTCATGGTGAGCAAATTCAGGTTAAGCACAATCATCAAAAAAGAATGCTCTTACTCTGCTTATGTTGGGCTCACTTAGAATCGCCGTGCTATATTAGAATACGCATAGATACAAAGCAACTTATTGCATCGTGTTTCTTGTGCCTATGCATGTAAAGAAGGAGCGAACACTGATTCATCAACAAATGAATGCCACAGGTCGAGACTTTACTGCTCTTCAGTCGGCATTCGACGGATGTATAACCACTGAATCATTGAAACGAAGACTTTTGGATTAAAGTTTGCTGCATGCTCTATGAACAGCCGACACCGCAATCTCTGCATTGTGCTCTCAGAGACCAGAAACATTTTTAAGGTGGTAGTTACAACTTTAGCATAGCTGAACCGTCGATTAATCCGGCTTTAATGTCTCGAGGCAGCAATGGCCGAGATCTTCGATTCAACTAAGTGGCTTGTTTGAGTCATTCGTTTCATGATTTCCACCAAAATACGGCCGGCTGCTCTCAGTTCCCACGGCCCACGGATGCAAAATCTTCCTCCCTCTCTATGTTATTCTGGGTCTTCCAACATTTTGCTTTTGTGACTTTTTGGAAGGTTGTATGGATGTTACTAAATTAAAGATCCACGAGGTCCTCTTTTTCTTGCCTGGCATAGTTGCTAGGAATGTCCACTTAGCTTTGATCAGAGAGCAATTCTTTTTGCTACAAAGAACATTGATCTAAAACACTGGAGTGGCTTGCAATACAGAGAAAATACCATTGCAATCCTTTTCTTACTACAACAGGTTAAAATCATGATTATAGGCTTTTTGACCCGATTCATTGCTAAACTAGCTATTTCCTTTCAGTTTTGCATCATCGA